TGAAGAGGAGTATCTTTTAACTTGCTCTTAACATCTGGATTAGCACCATGCATCAGTAATATTTCCACAATCTCTGGGCTGACCACAGGGGACATGCATGCTTGATGGAGGGCAGTCAACTGAAACAGGGAGGAAGATTCGTTGATTTCAATTTGTTGATCTATCAAGACTTTCACCATTTCTGGATATGAGGTCAATACAGCATCTGTTAAAAAATCCTCATCTTGAGGTAAAAGCTGCTTGTCAATCAAGTAATGAACGCCCTCTATGTTTTTGTTTTGAATAAGCAATCTGACTGGGTTGATATTCTGCATTCCATCTGAGTTATTAGTATCTGCTCCATTATCAATTAAAAATTTGATTATGGACAGAGTTCTTGGGTGTTTTTTTCTTGAACAAGCTAAGGACAAAGGTGATTTTCCATCTAAATTGACACAGTTAATATCAGCCCCACTCACCACTAGACATTCCACAACTGGCAGGTTGTTGAATTCACATGCAAAATGCAGTGCTTTCTCAAAATCAAAAGTTTCTTGCTCCACATTAGCACCAGCATTTATCAGAAGTTGCACAATTTGAGCTGAATCAGCATGACAGTGTTCACAAGCAAAATGCAAAGCAGCTTTGTTTCTGTGGACACACGTGCATGCAATATTTGGTTTGGCCCCAGTTTGCAGGAGAAACTCCACTATCTCCTTATTTCCAAGTTTTGCTGCCAAGCACAGAGGGGTCATCTGTTCTTCCCTGTTGATGGAGTCCAGTGAGAAGAAATTATCTTCTCTTGTCTCCATCTCATAGATTTTTTTGACAGACAGCAAGTCTTTGTTGTGAATGGCACCCATCAAAAGATCAGAGGCCATTTTATTCTCTACAAAAAAGCAAAATTTCTCTCAAGATATACTTGGATGATACACTGAAAAACATTCTTTGATTACTGTTAAATTTGTTGAAACTTTAATTATAATCTTTCATCTATAAATTTTAGAAATAAACAATGATATCTACAAAAAATTAATCTGGAAAAAGTTGCCCAGCTCTTTTTCAAAAACAAAGTTTTAGGCTTAATCTTGTTAAAAAGTTAATAGCTGATTGGAATTTCATATACAAGATGCATTTACACTATACCACTGGTTTTAGTAAAAGAATCAAATTCTAGATAACGAATAGGATTGTCTTTATATTAGGGATGGCAATCTGTGATAGGTTAACCGACTTGCATACAAACTTACCTTAGGTCTCACAGCTGACTAAGTCTTCATATATAACACAGGAAACTAGTAGAGTTTCTTTAAATTTTTGGGTCAGATTTACATAAATCTGAAACAAACATACCTAAGAATAGTCTGAAAAATCATAATTAGATATTAAATATATTCTTTTTGCAATTCTCTTTTTTGCCTTTCCCTTTCACAGTCATGGCAAATTTATGCAACAGATAGGGAAAACCTTCCATGCATCTCTGATTAATGTAGGGCACAGAAGTACTTAAAAAGAAAACTGCTCCAAAAACTTTAACCTGGGATGCTGACGCTGAGGGTACATATATTACATATTAAGCTCCCCCCAACTTCCTTGAGGTGAGTTAAAAATCATTACTTAATCTTTTGACCTCCCCAACTGTGTTATGGCATTATAAATGATGAAGCAATCAGCACATATTACCATAAAAATACTGCTTTTAACAATATTGCCAAAAAATTGAGTAACATTCATTAGCGCATCATGAAAATTTGTTTGCACACACAGTAGCAGTTATGAGACTTCATCTTTCAAAAAATAATGATTCAATGGCTTATTATAAACTCTTCGAAAAAAGAAAACGTATAGTAAAATTGTAGTGTCACATTGAACATAAAAATTATTTAGTAGAATGATTTATTGATAATAAAGAAATGTGGTAAACAATAGGTCTACAACCTAAATGTTATAATTACTCAAAAATTTTACAATATCATAGACAGTTCAAGTTAAGGTCATTAAAGGTCTATATCTGGTATGCCCCCTGCTCACACCAATGATAGCCTAAAACGTCATCCCAATGGATGCAAATGAGTGAATAAAAACTGTATGAGAATGCTATCCCACTCTAAATGTAGTGCTTTTATTAGCTGTTACAGAGCTTGGGGATGTGATTATCTTTGGTGTATATGCCTATCCATTTTTTCCAATGCATATTCAATGGGGTTTAAATCTGGCAATTTAGATGGCCAAGGCAGAACAGGATGCTCTGGCTTTGCACGAATGCGATTGTCAAACAAGCAGTATTTGACCATGTATTGCCAGACTGAAATATGGCTCCAGGATGCTGCATTATTGGAAAGACATGTGCAGGTAGGACGTCGTAAGAGTACAGTTTTCCATCAAAGTCCTTTGAATATGAACCAAATCTGTCCTACTTGTATATAATACAGATTTCCACATCATTACACTACCACCACTAAATCTATCAACTTCCCGGAGGCATTTTTTTGTAAAACATTCATTAGAAAGCTTATGCACTCTTACATCAGGCTTTGCAATAAACATATAGTATCTAAACCAAACTGTTCAGCGGTGTTGCTGTGGCCATACTCTTTTGGTCTGAGACCTTTGAAGTTGATATTTTGTTGTGTTGTGGGGTCAGAACAATGGCATAAATAAGTCCTCGATCTGGTGATAATTCCAGAATCCCATATATATTCAATTGCAAAGGGTCTTGTTAGATATTCTGTGCACTTCAGAGATAGCTAATGCTGTAGATGACATTATTGTGAAACATTGATGAAAAATATGCAAACCACTGAAGCGACCCTGTGCTGCTGATGTCACGCATGGCCTGCCATATTTTTGGCGATCATTTGCTGTACCATATTGGTATCTGTTTCATAGGTTAGATAATATGGTGCTTTACCCCATGTTTACCCCTTATCCCATGGATATCACTCAATAGATATTTTTTTCATATCCCACTGCTGTGACATCACAATGGGTTTTGCGTGAAAGTGATGAAGTAAAATAAAGTGGATTCATGTATAAAATGGTGTAAAATATTGATAGTGATGCATAAAACAAGGGATAAAAAGAATCTCCCATGATTTGTAGCTGGATATGATTTTTATACAACTCATTGTGTGTATTTATCCCCTTGCCAAGGCTCGAGGATAAAAACACACAACTCGTTGCATAAAAATCATATCCAACTACAAATCATGGGAGATCCTATATTTATGCAAGATTAATTTAAAACCTCTTGCAAATGTAGACTGTGGTACACCTGCTTCCAGTTGCTCAATTTCCTTTTTGTGATATGCAACATTCAGATTCAGCATTTTTAAATATATGTAGTGTCAATTTTCAGAGACAAATAAAACAGAATCAAAATATAGAGAACTCCAGCTTTTGATAGCACTTTTATACCTGAAGGATGTGGTGCAGAAACCGACAAAAAAAAATTACGACACATTCCTTTTTCTGAAGAGTGTATCAATTTACATATTTTAACTCCCTGCCTTGTCTGCAAATGTTTTTATATAATTAATTCAATATCCCTCACTGTATTATTCTTCAGGTAAGTTACAATTGATGGAAAATCCATTCCATCAGCTATTACCATTTAACTGTTCAATGACAGCATGAATTTTGATTTTTGCTTATGATGTTGCAGTTTACTTATGATGTTGCAGAGCCTTCAACATTTGCGACATCAAAATTATAAAATAAAAATTATACTTTAAAGGGGCCTGGACACAGATTTGAAATTATATTTTCTCAAATTTTCTGTATAATATCATGACTTATATGTTGCAACAGCATTTCACACAGAAATATAATATAAGCGTGTTCAGAAACTTCCTTTATCTGGAAATTATTGAAACTACGAATTTCGGGACATGTTTGATTGCTACTTAATAGTTTGGAAAAGTAGAAATTTTGCTGTGTATTAATGAAAAATATTAAAACCATAATCCAGAAAACTCAGAGTAAAAATGTGAGAAAGCAAAACCAACTCACCAGTATTGTTAGTCCATGCACAGTGATGTGTGCAAACGTAAACATTAACAATAACAGAGCTTGTTTACAAAAACAAATGTTTGACGTGATGTAAAGAAGAATGTTGTTGTCATTGAATTCTAAGATTATTCATGTAAGTTCAATTCATTTAACTGGTTTTATTTTTTGAATAGGCATATAAATTTAAAATGTAAACAGAATGCAACTGTGTCCAGGCCCTTTAACCTTTTGACCCCCGTCTGTGTTATGGTGATTTAAATGAGGTGCCATATACTTTCCACACACTTCATAAGCAAAATACATGTGGAATGTAAATATATCATTTTAACTGCAATACAAATATTAACCATAGAAACATTAGAAATTCAGAATAAAACTGTAACATCAGCTACCCTCTTTTTATCACTTTATGTAGCTGATGAGTGCAAAACCCGAAATTCCTCTGTCTTTTTTACAGCTTAATATTTTGTCATGTGCCGAGTGAGTCAGACTGATTATCCCCTTGCATGTCAAAATTTAGCAGCTGTAAACACATGATAAACTAGGCCTAAAGGCGAGTGAGAGTTAGAGGAATCTCGGATTAAGCGCATCTTTTAAATTATGATCAATGACAATGCTATGGTGGGATTTTTTGCTTAACTACATCTTAACATAAAAAATTAGTAATATATCTGCAACTTGAGTTGCGAGACAGCTAAAGAAAATACCAAAAACCTACCAACTAGGATTTTCAGCGGTGCCATCATGAAAGTAAAAACGGTTGCACGACGTTTCGACACTAGAACTTTATAGCACATGGAACCTTTAACATTTTTGGCATTTCATCACCTACTTTAACACGTTTTAGCCTTTGTATGGCATTTAGATTTTTTAAATACAAAATTTGATGAGTACCAGTAAGTCACAACGTTAAATTTAGGCGTTGAAACATTTCTATAATCGCATTTTATGTCTGGAGCGTTCTTCCATACATTCGAAAACTCCCGGAAGTTTCGTCATTGTCAACCATGAAAGAAAAAAAGTAAACACCTTTTAGGTTGTAACGCAGTTTCAGCCGACTGTATTTCTATAAGGACAATTTCTTGGATTTAGTAAACTATTAATTATGCCGGTAATCCTACTGGAGAGGATACCCCTTCCAAGTTTACAGACTTACACGTCAGTTTCTGTCCTCGTTCTGTCAGTGGCATTATACTATGCATATCATATGGTGTCCACTTTTGACACTCTCACAGTTGATTTGGGGGATGGAGCTCATGGAGTGACCGTTGAACCAGTGGAAGATGATGAAGTGTTGACAGACTCACGGGAGGGGATCAACATGACCCTTCCTTATGACACTGTGCATTGGAATATGTTCCATATTTTGACCACAGAGGTTTGGTGTGTCTGGGTATGTTACTCTTCTGCAATCTGGATAAAAAATTAATGTCAGCATAGTCACAGTTATAATCTATCCCACGTGAGCACTTCCACCACATATTAATAATAATATCAAATAAATTTTGACTTAATTTTTTCAAAGGAAATATTGAAGTTTCATCTGAGATGGGCAAGAGATAAAAATTCAATGGTCTAGTCCACCTCATTTTTCTCCCTTGTCCATTATTTTTTGTGTCTTGAACTTTCCCTGGAAGTGACAGGTGAAAGACCTTCCAGGGAAGAGCCTGGCTTGGTGTCTTCGGGAGAGAAGATCGAAGTGTGGCGGCCAGACAGGTTCAATCACTGGTAGCCAGATAGCTCAGTTGGTAGAGCACTTAACTAGTGATTCAGGGGTTGTGGGTGCGAATCCTGGACTGGTCCACTGCATTTTTTCCTTCACTGGTTATACATCATTTCCCACCATGTTTAGTCAGATGACACATGATAAATGACTATACATTTGTACAACTTGAAAGAAAGTAGTATGACAGAATTAATTTTCCAAAGTCTACAGAATTTCAGCCAAACTAGCTGTCAGGTGTCTGCAGGAGTTGTCACTATTTCTAGGGATTTTCGAAGTGTGACCTTTTAAATTGATTAGGAAATTGTACTATATCATTACTTTTTGATGGCAAGCAACAGAAAATCACAAATAACGTTGGATCCTTTTCTGAAGTGTAGCCATTTTTGCAATTTTAAATCCAGGTAGACTTTTAATTTGCTGCAATGTTAATATATTAGTTGAAATCTAGGGGTTAACGTTCCTTTCAAAGCAGAAAGTTTGGGGAAAAAATTACATTGTATTTGTTGATTCAAAATAAGTTTAAAAACCAAGGTGTTTATGTATTTTGAGAAATAATACAAAAAATGATGATGTTGATACTGCCAGAGAGACTGAGACTATAGGACAATGTTCTATGTATACTACAGTTCATGTATACATATTAACCTGTACATGTAGTTCTAATGTATCTATAACATATGATTCACAAAAGATATGTCTTACTTCTACTGATTGATGGAATTATCTAATATCTGTTCTCCAACATGTATTAGTTTGTTGGATCCAATTCATTTTAAAGCCCCTCTGCCTGATATACATGAATTAGGTATCCTCATCAATTGAAACCTAGATATGCCTCAGAAATAGGTATGCAATAAAATTCTTTTGTGTGTTCTTTTTCACATCTCTTCTAACATTATACTACCAGGTATGCACAGAGTGTAGATTTTGCAGATGTTCAGAGCAAGGTATTAAATGTAGGGATTTAGCAACAGTTACTTTCGATCAAGAAATATAGGTCAATCACTAACAGTAATACCATTTTTTTTTAATGTAAACCATGAGTCAAATAATCTGTATGAAATAATATTCTAAGTCTTGGTTTATCAAATGGCAAATGCCTTTTTTGTAAAGCAAATACTGAGAGCCAGAAGCATTTATTTTTTGAATGTAAACACGTCAAACCAGTTTTAGAATTGGTACAAAGAATAATTTTACTAATACCTGTAAAGGATTCAATCAATTTTGATGCATGTACTGTTCTACTGGGATTTGCCAGTGAACCGAAAAACGTTCGAATATGTGTTAACACTTTGATTTATATATATAAGTGGTCAATATGGAAAACAAGAAACAGTATCAAGTATGAAAATAAAAAAATAACTACCTCATTGCTCCAAAAAGCATTCACGAAAGAAATGAAATTAATTTTTCAATTGTTAAAAAATGATAAACGCAATTTTAAGGGAGATATGAATTTAACGTTAACTGTATTAACAGAATTCGAGAAACTGTTACCTGTTTTCCACAATCCAGATTTAAGTTAAGCTCCATGTATGTTTTCCCATTTATTCAATATATTGCAATACATTCATGAATCGCACCGGATTGCAAATACGAACAAGAAATTTAGAACCAAAATTGATTCCGGATAAATATTCTCTGTTTTTTGGGGTTTTTTTTATATGTTATACAATTTAATTAATATACATATTGAATGTATGATATGAATACATTATGTGAGACATTGTATTAAGATTTAGATATTTAGCATCCTGCGTGGTGCTGTAGGGATTATTATTATATATTGTTATAGAGGGAGCTTAGTCAGGGCCCCATCCCTGGTAGCTGCCCTATATATCATCTTTAATGTTATAGGTCTGGGAAATAAATGTGAAAAAAGAAAAAAAAAAAAAAAAAAAAAAAAAAATATTCTAAGTATGGATTAATTTTCCTGATGAAACTGGCATTCAGTAAATAAGCAATATATACAGCAGATTACCTAATGCATTCCTTGTATTTTCAGATTTTGGTTAATTCTGCATACTGCTGTTTGATACTTCTTGGAAAAGCAATACAAAAGCTTGTGTTTGGGGAGCTAAGAGTGTCAGAAGAACAGGTATGACTGAGTTTATGTCTGTGTATACAGTAAGACTAAATTCTGGAATTATTGGATAAAAATGGAGTGTATAAATACAGATGAATACAATAAAAAAAACATTTACCAAAATACATGCAATATAAGAAACTTGATAGTTGAATTACAGAGATTGAATTTTTTATGCCCTGCCATGAATATGGCTGTGGAATATAGTATTTGTCATGTCCGTCATGCATCCTTTTCATCCTTCTGTCCCGCCATCCTTCTGTATGTCCGTCCATTACACTTTGCATTTAGCTCAGTTTCAAAGAAACTATTTAAGATATATTTATCAAACCTCATATGCAGATACATATTGGTGAGAACTACTCAGCTAGTCAACTGCATTAACATTTTTGGACCTTGACCTTCTCTATGACCTTGACCGTATGATTCTTAAATTTGTTTTAGCTCAATTTCAAAGATTACTATTCAAGATATTTTAATCTAAACACATAATTATACTAAAACATACTCGTGAGAACTTATCAACTGTGTCCAAATTTTTTTTACCTTGGCATTCTTTATGACCTTTGACTTTACTATTTGTTGTGTTTAAAACTCATTTGAAACTATGTGCATGGATATAATGAAAAGAGTGCCTCTTCCAGAATTGTGAAATTGGTGGCCACTGGGTCAGAGGCTCTGGTGTTGGGGCAGGACTCAATTGGTCAGTTATAATGAAATGCATATTTTCTTTGAAAATCTTCCTCTCTGCTCTGGGTTCAAAACCCTTGACCCTGAGTCAAGGGTTTTGGAGTTAGGGTGGTGCTCAAAAGATCATATTGTGAAAATGCATTAATTCTGTAAATATCTTCTTTTCTTCCCTGATATGATGAGAAAGACTGCCTCTTCCAAAATTGTAAAATTGATGGTCCCTGGATCAGGGGTTCTGGTGTTTGGGGGGGGGGGGGGTCTATAGGTCATAGTGAAATTGCATAAATTCTTTGAAAATCTTCTTCACCACTCCTGGGTATTTAGAATACAATTTAAGTGTTTAGTTATGATGAACAAGAGTGCTTCTTCCAAACTTGTGAAATGCATATACTTTGGATAAGGGGTTCTGGAGTTAGGGTAGGGCTTTAAAGATAATACAGGTATAGTGGAAATGTGTGCACCAATATGGTTATAATGAGCAAGAGAGTTTCTTCCAGAATTGTGAAATTCATAACCCCTGGTTTAGGGGCTCTGGTGTTAGGACAGGGCTATTGATCATATAGTAAAAACGCATTAATTCTTTTAGAATCTCCTCCTCTCCTCCTGTGTATCAAGCAGACAAACTAAGTGCAAGGTGTTGATAAGCAAGGGTGCCTATTTCAAAATTGTGAAAATCAAGGCCCCTGCTATGGAGATTCTGGAGTTAAGGCTGGGATCCATTGATCACATAGTGAAAAAGCATTAATTCTTTGAAAATCTTCTTTTATCCTATTGAATGTTAAGCAGACAAACTTCATACATGGTTATGATTAGAAAGAGTGCTTCTTCCAAAATTCTTAAATTCATGGACCCTAAGACAGGGATTCTGGAGGTAGGATGGAGGTTTATTCTAATCATGTTTGGGAATATTTACTCTGCTTTAAGAGAAGTTATTCCCCTTTGTTATGCACTTTTGATAATAAATTGATTTAAGTAATGTAATTGATAGGTAAATTGAATAAAGGAATTGTACAGGAATTTTCTATATGTAATTTAAAAAGTATCTTCTTAGTTTTTAATAGCCATGTAGACATACATAATAGATAAATGAAAATGAAACAAAAGTACCTTATTTATCTACATTAAATATTATTCAAAGATCAAGAGAGACTTACAGTTTCAGTTTGAGTTATATAATTATTTACAATTCCATGGATCCTTTAAAGGGTGATTGTTAAGGCCCTTGGGCCTCTTGTTCACTAGCATATGTATTTTTCCAAAAGAGCACATGTACATTATGTCAAGGAGAAATTATTCACTGAGCATTTATTTTTCACATATTTTTTTCAGCATTTGAAAGACAAGTTTTGGAACTTCCTGTTCTACAAGTTTATCTTTATTTTTGGGGTGTTGAATGTTCAGACACTGGAGGAGGTGGTATCCTGGGTGGCGTGGTTCACTATCCTTGGCTTCTTCAATCTCCTCACACAGCTCTCCAAAGACCGCTTTGAATATGTAAGTCACGCAGGTGTAAAATTGGAAGACGTAAGTCACACAGGTGTTAGAATGAAAATTTTTAAGTCACACAGGTGTTAGATTGAAAATTGTAAGACACACAAGGTTAGATTGGAAAATGTAAGTTACATAGGTGATTAAGTCACACAGGTGCTCAGATGTGAAAATGTAAGTCACACAGGTGTAGGATTGGAAATCGTAAGTCACACTGGTGTTAGATTGAAAATCATAAGTCTAACAGGTATTAGATTGAAAATCGTAAGTCACACACGTGTTAGATTGGAAATCGTAAGTCACACACGTGTTAGATTGGAATATTAAGTCATACAGGTGCTTAGATTGGAAAATGTAAGTCACACAGGTGTTTACATCTGAAAATGTAAGTCAAACAGGTGCTTACATCTGAAAATGTAAGTCATACAAGTGTGTAGATTGGAAAATGGAATATTTTATGAGATTTTTGAAAAAAAAGTAGAATATGTAGGATATGGTACATTGTATAAGAATTTTAAGATATGTAAAGTATATTAATATAGGGTACAGCCTTGCAATGATACTTCATTGATACTGAATATTTTTTTTACATTTCAGCTGTCCTTTTCTCCTATAGCTGCCCGTGGTATCCATCTCAAGCTGCTGGGCCTATTGTTTGTCATCCTGCTATGTAGCTTTGCATTACTGTTCCTTAGTGGATATGTTGGGCTTCAGACAGGCCCCACTATTTTTGCCTTCTTAGCTGCAGAGTGCCTTCTGTTGGGCATTAGGGCCCTCTATGTTGTAGTAAGGTAATTGAATTTGTAGCATGCATTAAGATTGATTAGAAAGTCAGGAAGAGCAAAATCCATATACAGTTGAGTTTTGTTATCTCAAACACCAATATCTCAAATATCAGAGATATGTCAGAGTTGGCAGTCCATCCACTTTTTCTTGTTTTTTTTTTAGTTTCATTATCTCTGGTCCTAGTATATCTCAAAGTTTAAGCTTGGTCCCGTCAAGTTTGAGATAACAAGGTTTTAGTGTACTATTATGTACAGTTGAACTTCAGTATCTTGAACACTGATATCTTGAATATGTCAAAGTGATTTGGAAGTCCTAACCACTTATTCTTTAAGCATTTATCCTTGATATCTTGAATTCTTTGATATTTTGAATTTTTTCATTAGTCCCATCGAATTAGAGATAACAAGGTTTGACTGTAATTGTTTTCAGTTATTTGACTGTGTTGTTTTCCACCTCTGCTTAATTAATGTCCTAGACCTTTATCTGATATTTGCTTCCAGGAGAGTTGCCTAAGACTTAATACTCTATGTTTGTTATGTGTCCCTTATAACACATTGGAACTTTAGAAATAAGGAGTAGTTCAGAAAAAGATATCTTTTTTCATAGAATTTTAAACCCATTTATGTGCTTCTTTTTTAAAACATGGCACCTATGCAAGAATTTTGCCTGATTCAAGCAATTTTTTCTGGTTAAATTTTAGAGATATTCATTATGAATTGCTTGTTTTCAATAAACTTCCAGTAAAAGAGAAAATAACTACATGAATTTAGTTATGTCCCTGAATAATAGATAGTGTAGGGTGAAAATTGTCTTTTTGGTTTTGAGATGATCATTCCATTTTCATATTGTCTTTATCATAAACCAACTTTTAATTTACACATTCTAAGGGAATGATTTTATTACTTTTTTTTTTAAAGAATTGCACAGCAATATATCAATTTTTTGGTTTTTGTTTGTTTGTTTTTTAGGATACAAATTTCTGAAAGTGCAAATCTGTCAAGCTTAATTAAGAATTGATTGTTATCAATACTGTTGGAAGATTATAATTCCAAGAATCCCTTTGTTTTAGATATGTGATCCACTTGTGGGACATGACTGTCACCAGTGTCTGGGAGAACAAGTCTATTTATATCTATTACACAGAACTGGGATTTGAATTGGCTTATTTAGCTGTTGATTTTGCACATCATCTTCATATGTTGGTAAGAAAATCTGCATGAATTAAAAAAAATTTAAAATTGCCCAAAATTTGAATAATTGCTAGTTCATCTTCAAGAAATGTTTGCCATACAAGGAATGAAAAATTCTTTGTTGAGAAAAAAATGAATAAATTGTAAATTCCAACTTCCTTTTACATGACTATTTAGAAACTAATTTCATTTATCCTGAATTGACATAATTTCTTGTGTGTTTAATTTTGTAGTTGTGGGGAAATATCTTCTTGAGCATGGCCAGTCTTGTAATTTGTATGCAGCTGAGGTATCTATTTTATGAATTCAAAAGGAGGATCAATCGTCATAAGAATTACAGAAGAGTTGTACAAAATATGGAAGCAAGGTATACACTACAAAAATATATTTGAAATGCATGTAAACTGCCTAGGCACTGGATGAAAATCAAGAAGTGAGAGAACACTAAAAAGTTGAAAAAGTTTTTAAAGGAAGAAAAGTATAAATAAATATCTCCATATTTTGTCTCCTCTTACATGATTATTGCATTGCAAATCCAGATTTTGGAGAGTAGTAATGTGGGGTTTGTCCCTATGTCCTCATTGTCCTTTCCTCAGACTTGTCTGTTAGGTTACCATGATGCTTTGTCATTTCCATCATTCAGTATTCTCAAGTCATACTTATCATATCATGAGGTATTGAATGTTCAAAACTTGAATTCCGTTTCATTCATCACAAAACTTTTCAGATTTCCAATGGCTACCAAAGAAGAATTGCAGGGTCACAATGACAACTGTGCTGTATGCTGGGAGAGAATGGAGGGGGCAAGAAAACTGCCGTGTGGACATTTGTTTCATAAGTATGTAACATATCATTTTTGTTTTGCCTATACCGTAGACAGTAAGGGACCACTTTGTCTGGCACCTTTTTATCCAGGATTTTGGGGCTGTCAAATTTGAAAACAAATTGTCACATTCTCACATTTATATCCAAGTCTTCATGAAACATTTTCAGGAACACAGCAGAAAATGCAATACCTGGTTGAAGTCACAATAGTAAAAAAAAAACTGTTGTTGCTCAAAAAATGAAAGTGAAGAGAAACACTTGTGATAATTAAATTGTACTGCATTATTCAAGCTTCTAATAAAAAAAAACTTTCTGGGTTTCATTTTAAACTTTTTGACGTAACAACAATAAAGGAAGTACATACCCAATATACTACATGTACATGTTAATGACTGACCTAATCAGAAGTCAAAGCCAAATCTTCCCTCTACAGGCACAAGTGCCTTTATGTTATCTGCCCATAGTATATACTGACTTCATCCACTATTTGTTTGCTCATCTACATTTGTATAAGACCTTGTTTTCTTTGTGCATGTGGATGTTTAAATATAAAAAGACACTCCACTCCATCAAGTAGTGATGGGCCGATTGTCGCCGACGATCGATTGTCTGTTGTTTGGTGCTCTTCGATGCTATACTAATCGATTATGAAATAAATGTCGCCAACATCACTGACAAAAATTAATATTTTAATACTTTAATTTTATTAAATTAATATTTTAATACTTTAATTTTATTACCAAATTCATGTGCAAAGAGTTTTAAAGTAGTGATGAATGTTCGACACATCGAAAGTTTCCATGCCTTGTTGATATTTTTACTGCCATGATTGAATATAGGGTCAGACTAATAACAGAAAACAGACAAAATTACCTGGTTTTACTATGTAAAAGAAAACATTAACAGTACAGACGGTCTGTAAACTTAACTTTAATGAGGAATACAAGTGCAAATACTGGATAACTATTTTTTTTTAAAAAAAAAACTTGTAATTCCAAGAAATAAATACATGTTATGCAAGGTGGGACTAATAACAGTAATATTTCCATTCAATACATTTCATGAGATTTTTTTTATAAAAATAAATTCCCATTCAGTATATTTCAATGACATTTTTTTTAAAAAGTAAAGAAATAATTCTTATTTTTCACTTTATTGAAATGAAAGAATTAATAAACATTCATGAATTTAATAAATAATTAAAATAATTTTTTTTTTGGTATTAAAAGTATAAACTGAAATCTGAATAAATATAACTCTTTTTATATTTATTTTATTAAATATAAAAACTCGATTATAATTGATTATTAATCGATTATGCGCAGCCGATTATTACTGATAATGGATTATGATAAAATCATTTTTTTCTGATTTCCCATCACTACCATCAAGTGTTTACATAATCAGCTTGTTACTATAGGAACATGGAATGGAGTATTCATAACCTTTATCAGTATAAAATTTTGGTGTATTTATTCAATGCTGATGAGCCATTATGCATAAGTGAACATAGTGTGCACTGTTTACCATCATTAGATACCCATGGTTAATCAGTTGTGTCGAATATTTGACTGAATAAGTGTATATAGTTTTTTTCTGTTTGTAGTATTTTTTATAAGAATGAAGGTTGGAATTAGACACAAGTGATAGATCAATTACATGTATTAGTGCCCAGAGAATAGCGATTTGCCATATAAGAGTATTATTTTCCTAATTTTCATTGGCTGAAAGGACATCATGTGAAATTCCTCCTTTTGTGATACTGACATGAAAGTGCCTCCACGGATTATGAAATCGCACTGCTCACCATTTGGCTGCACCAAAGTTACATAAAACGTTACGTCATAATATAAGAAGCATGTTTTTACCATTGTGACGTGATGACAGTCAAGTCTGTTCAGAAGGGACTGTGTCAGATTATTCCCTTTGAGTGATTATATAATATAACTATTATGGACTTCAGGGAATGGTCAATATGTGGTTGTAAGGACCTGTGTCAAGTGATATTGACCTCAGACAGAGAAAATAAGGTCGCAAGCTCAGTCACTATCACTTTCTGTATCTTTGGTCAATATCACTTGACATGGGTCTTTAGAACCACTTATCAACCTACACTGAAGTCCATAATTGTATAACATGTAAAATTTATTTATATGTTCACACCCTTCAACCATTTCTATAAGGTAATGAAATGTTTACTTCATTAAAAAAAAGTTTTCAGTATATTTTGATTTTAACAATTTGTTTTACTTTCAATATCTTGATGCAGAAAAAAACAACATATTAAAAAACAATTATAGGTAAATTGACAAAGCTTTAATTTTCTTTCTTTTTTTTTTTCTTTTTACCGTATTTGGCCAAATATAATACGCATTGGTGTAAAATACGCACCCCCCTTTTTGAGCCTGAAACTGGGGAAAAAACGCAGTTCGGTTGTATTATACGCAGCAGAAAATTTGACCAAGCGATGTTCTGAACTTTTGAAAATTGCGGTAATTTGCTATGAAAATTGGCGCGGAGATAAAGTGCCGAAAATTTACAGAACACGATATTTTATTCAAATGCGTTTTTATTTCTTAATCTTGACTTTCTATATCGCGGCAATCTGGAGGAAATTATTTATTTTAACAAAGCACGAGATAATGTTGCATTAAAGTATTAACAGAGTTTATTATTAATTTTTTTTTTAGCATACGGTGATATTGAAATTATACGTCGCCGTATTCTAACTATTCTTTGTGGAAATAATTTTATTTCAACAAAGCACGAGATATTGTTGCAAGTTTAACAGTTGTCGTATTTATTTTTAGTTTAAGGTAATCATGTTGAAAATTATGTAAATTTAACAGGGCAAGCGATATTGCAACATCAAAGTATTCATAGACTACGATTTTCTTCTTTTGAACTTGAAATTAATTAATTAAATAAATAACTGATGTTATAAAATTAAAATCAAAATTTAACAAGCGTGTAAAGTGTAGTTATCAACACACCTCCAAAGTTGTGAAAAATGATGTACAAAGGTGGGATTATATGTCTTCATACATCGAGGTAATCTTTGTGGATATCTTATTTTCTACAGAGCACGAGTAAATGATAACACAAGTTTCAACATACTTCACATTTCCTTTTTTAACTCTCAATCATTTTAACACGAGGCCGATATAAGATAAAGTAAAATTACATTTAACAAGCGTTTAACTTTAATGTGTCGTAATCAACACAGGCTTATACATACGAAAGATCATAAACCAACCCCCGATTTTTAACAAAGAAAATAATCAAAGCCATTAATAAGGGCTGTAAATAATCAGTGCTCTAACTGTAAAAACAATGCTTTGGAGTCGGTAAACAATTTAATTGCCTGGAGGGGTGTTGAGTGGTAATCATCAAGTGACAAGCGCACGTGTGTCACAACATTGGCTTCCATTGGGACGTATAGAGGGGTGTTATGTTGAAATGAATTTTCACTGAGTTATATAAAACCTAAAATAAAATTTTTATTTTATTGTATTTCATTAAAAAAAGACATTACTTTTTTTGACCGAGTGTCTGACTGATTAGGTACATGTGTACTATGATTACGGAAGCACGTGGCAAAGGAATGGGTGAACATCTATAAATAACATCGTTAATGGCGGCCTACACGGAGACGATGAACATGCTGCTCAAATTAATTTTAACTTGCTTTTAAATTTAATTTAACTATCAAAAGGTTATAAATATAACATTTTTAGCAAGCCTACATTCCAACAATAACTTTACGAAGTTTTAAATACGGCGATAAACAGCAAGAAATTGCATAAGTTACTAGGTAATACTACGGTATGAGCGTATGATAGTCGTGTTTCACATGAAAGAAAAACCTATCAAAATCCCATTGTGGTGTAAAATACGCACCCCTTTCTCACAGAAAATAATTTTGGGAAAAAAGTGCGTATTATATTCAGCCAAATACGGTACACATTAATGCAGAGAATCTTAAATAGTACCGGTATGTTAAGAGAAGTGAATGTCTTCAGCATAGTCATGAATGTATGGACATTCCCAATATGGGAGGGGACATCCCCACTGGGTGTTAAAATCAGGACACAACCTCTGTCCCCTATAGATTTGTGAATGTTCTACTGACTCCCTATAGTTTTGCGAATTTTCAAATCTCCAGTCTGGCTCCCTATAGTTTTCGGAATGTTCCACTGTCTCCCTATAGTTCTGTAAATGTTCTAATCTCCTGTCTGGTAACCTATAGTTTTCTGTCTGTTCTAATCTCCAGTCTGGCGGTTCAGAATTGTAGTAGTTGTGATGGTAAGTAGATGAAGGATTTCTGGTCAGAAATCTTTGTTGTCTAGTCAGTAGTGCTTGCCAGTTAGATTTCCTGCTTTGCCTAGGCATTTTTGCTGCCCTGTGTTGAAAACACATCTCTGGTTTTCTTTTTCTGTTTGATGGATAGTTAGAGGATGCTGCATTTTGAGAAGCTGAAAGAGTTTTTTCCTGATTGTTATTCCCACTGATGTCTTTTAAACTGGTAGCTATCTCACTTGAGCCAGAGTTGAGCCCTTTTATTGTATTGCTTTCTGGTAGTTTTGATGTGTCTGATGGTTTCTTATCAATTTCAGTTGAATGATTTCCCGTTTTCTGATTTTCTATTTCACGAGCTTTGTTTGATTCAGCATTAGCATTGGTTTTCATCACTACATTTTCAGTGTTTTTGGAAGCAATTGTTTCCTGTTTCACTATTTGCCCAATTATTTTACCACAAGTCTGCCCCTTTGTTTGCTTTTCACTTTCTTTGCTTATTTCTAATGATTTGGTCTTCTTCATTTTCTTTGCTGGTGGATGATTTTGTTTCTCTGTAGATATTGGTAAATCTTTTTGTGGACTTCTTCCTTTTCTTGTGAATAGGTTGTCAGATGAAGTTGAATTTTTGAGATGGGATTTTACATTGCTCTTTACAGACCTAGATGGCTGATTTTGTACATGATGAAATGAACAATTCCACCTTCTACATCCTCT